TCTTCCCCCCAGGCTGTACCTGTAACGAGGAGGGAACCCTCCCCGCACACTGCTCTGAGGGCATCTGCTACTGTGACCGAACGACGGGCAGCTGCCCCTGCCGTGCCAATGTAGTCGACAAGAACTGTGATAAATGTGCCACCAACTTCTGGGGCTTCGGCAGTGAGCTGGGGTGCCAGCCGTGCAACTGTGACCCCGCCCATTCGTTACGGTCAGACTGCAACTTGGTAAGTGACCAACCACCCAAAAGGGTCAGGTAAAGAGGAGCGAGGGGTCTGGGCAGTGCCCGGATGTCTTGCCACGTGCCCCCAGATAAGTTAGCATACTTGAGACTGGTGTGTCGGCCGAGCCACTGTCCCCACCCCAAGTCTCACCTTCCACTCCGCTCAGTTCACAGGGCAGTGCCATTGTCGTCCAGGCTTCGGAGGGCGGGTTTGCTCCCAATGCCAAGATAATCACTGGGGTGATCTGGAGCAGGAGTGTCTGGGTGAGTATAAGCACACGGCACAAGCCAACGTCTCCCATGCACATGGCTGCCGTGTCAGCATTGGCCCAAAGTCCACATCCCTGCTAAATCGGAGGAGGGCCGGAGATTGTTCTCTTGCAAATGGCCTTCCACCTGTCCCAGGCGGTTATCCCCAACTGCTGTGCTTTCGCATATCTTGCTCCACTGTTAAAGACCAATCGTAAAAGGCTAAGTTTGGAAGCCAGTGGTTCCTCTGCCCGGTCCTGAAGAATGGGGCAACGTTTACCCTGGTTTGACCGGAGGAGAGGCTTCGTCAACATATAAAATAATTTGCCTGGAACAAGGCAGGCCACTCAGCTGAGTCTGTGATCTGGCTGGAGCAAAGAAAGATCCGCTAGCCTGTTTTTTAAAAAACGATTCATTCACGGGCATGCCTCGGTCAAGAAGTAGAGTTATGATCAACTGTGTTGCTTGCCCCCACCCAGAACAACTGTTACGTCCCAGCACATCTCTGCACAGTCCTTTTCAAAGAGGTACACGTCACGTGCCTATGCTGATGCAAAGAAGACTTCTTTTATAAGTCCCCATCCTAAGTCTCACCTTCCACTCCACTCAGTTCACAGGGCAGTGCCATTGTCATACAGGCTTCGGAGGGCAGGTTTGCTCCCAGTGCTGCCAAGATAATCACTGGGGTGATCCGGAGCAGGAGCTTGTAAGAAGCATCAAGACCCCAATGAACTTTGGGCTGTACAGGGGTAGAATTGATGCCAAGTTCTAGTTACAAGTAAAGAGAAATCTTTCGAGTAGGCACAGTCTAGGATTCTGAAGGTCCAGGCACCTACTTTGCATGACATTCCAATGGCATTGCCTTCTTTTGTAACATCTCATATACTTGTCTTATGGTTTTCCAGATCCACAAGGAAGCTAGATATTGAAAACCTTTACAAGATTCCAGGAGTACAACCCGACCTGCTTTGACTTACTGGCATAAGGATGCTCGCTGATCAGGCTCAACCTCCTGCAGTTCCCTCCTTTGGCCAGACTTGGGTGGTGATGCATCGGTTGAGCCCCCCTGCCTGACACCCCCTTAAGTCACCGATTCTAGACCCGCTATGGGTTCAGGTTCAGGCAGTGCCTCAGTTTATCACTTGTGTTCATATTCTTCACTTCTCCACAGCAGCAGTCAACCCCAGATAGGTCAGCTCTAGAAAGACGCCGGCTCTGCCCCAAGCAAGCTGAACACTTCCATTATAAAATTTTCTCTTTGGTCTGATCTCCGCCTTTGCCCCCCTACAGCATGTGAGTGCAGTCCAACAGGATCCGAGACCCTGCAGTGCGACCGTCTCGGCGGACACTGCCTGTGCCGGGCTGGCTTCACGGGGCGGCGCTGCGACCAGTGCCAGAGGGGCTTCCGGCAGAACTTCCCCCGTTGCTCTGCCTGCCACCCTTGCTTTGGTCAGTGGGACCAGGTGCTGGAGCAGCTCTGGGCACAGCTGCAACGGTTGCAGGACACCGTCCAAGCCCTGAAGGAAGGTGGCCCCATACCTGAGGCCAGCAACAGCCGTATGCGCAAACTGGAGAGGAGCCTGGATCAGGTGCAAGAGCTTCTTGGGGATGGGAGCAGTCCAAGCACCTCCCTGCTAAACCACCTCAGCACTCTCCTGGCACAGTTCAGGTAGGGAGACATGGAATGCGGTGGTCAGGAGTGGGTGAGACTGGCAGTGGAAACGGGGGAAATATCTACCCCAAAAAGCTATAAATCTGCAGCCCTATTTATTTTACTTAGAAATGCATCCCACTGGCCATGACCTGGGTAGCCCAGGCTAGCCCAGCCTCATCAGATCACGGAAGCTAAGCAGGGTCGGCCGTGGTTAGTATTTGGAAGGGAGACCACCAAGGAATATCAGGGTTGCTACACAGCACCAGGCGATGGCAGGCCACCTCTGCGCATCTTGTGCCTTGAAAACCCTAAGGGGTTGCTGTAAGTTGACTGTAAGGAGGGGGGGGGGTCCCACTGATTTCAGTGGGATTTGATTCTTGGGCCCATCACACACACTCAGCGTTTCAGGGTTGTTGTGAAGATAAAACGAACAATGTAAGCTGCTTTGGGTCTCTAGTGGAGAGAGATGCAGGGTATCAATGAAGTAAATAAATCAATGTGTGCATAGGATTTCCCACCTACCCCTTTTCTCTCTCCCCCTGCACTCATAATTTTTGCTAATGTAACTTTTATTGTTTATTTAGCTTTTATGTCAAAATTTTATGCTGCTGGAAAATATGCTATCGCTTTTATAGATTTTTAAAAAATGTTATAAAGCCACTTCAAGAAGTTGAGTTGGCAGTGTAGGATATAAAAGTTGTAATGGAAATAAATCACATAAGCTATTGCTGATGTACCTATCCAAGAGCCAATTTTCTGTGTCCTAAATTTCAGACTTATTGGCAGATTATTCCGCTTGTAATGGACACATTACTGGTTATAAGCTGCTGTGAATCCTCTTACCATTCTTCTGAGAGATTTTGAAGGCAGAGAATTTTGATCTTGAATATATTATAAATATATTGTATGCGGCTGGATTTAATTTGGCTGCTAATTAGAGAACTGTGAGCCTGCCTGCCCATAAATTTACAAGTACCTGTCAGGTAAAATATGGAAGAAAGGAGACAGGAAGAAGCTGACACAACAGAGTCCAAGAAGGCTGAAAACCAGATGTATTGAAAGCTGGGCATTATCTGTACAATTTTGCAATGATAATTAGGATTGCCAGCTCCAGGTTGGGAAATACACGGCGATTTTGAGGGTGGGGTTTTGGAAGGGGATGGACTTTCATAGGGTATAATACCACAGAGTCCACCTTCCAGAGTGACCATTTTCTCCAGGGGTTCTGTTGCCTGGAGATCAGTTGTAATCTCAGGAGGTCTCCAACCCGTCCAGTGTTCCCTCTAAGCTGAGTTAGTGTGAACTAGCTCACAGTTTTTTATCCTCCGTCTCACACATTTTTGCCTTCGCTCTGGAAGGAGGGCTCCAGTGCGAACTAATTAATGTAGTAGTCAAATCGCTTGCTCACAATTTTGATGCCAGTACCTCACAAAGCAGAATTTTTGCTCACAAGACTCCACAGCTTAGAGGGAGCATTGCCAGCCAGCACCTGGAGGTTGGCATCCCCAACTAACCACATTAACAAAAACATGGAATTGGAGTTAAACGTTAAAGCAGCCCTGGACCAAGCTGAACCAAGTGGCCCTTGTGGTCCCGGCAGGGGCTTCTTGGTTCTTAGGCTCAGGCCATGGCAATGATGGAAACAGGAGTGCGCATATCGCCGTCATTGCTGCGGCCTGAGTGCCACCCAAAAATGCTGCCACTTGGCCCAGCTGGCTCCAGTGGTTCTCCAGAGCAGCTATCCCCGCCCCAGGAAGTTTCCCAGTAAGCTAAAGGTTATTTATTTATTTATTTAATCTTTGGATTTATATCACACCCTACCCCGAAGGCTCAGGGCGGCTAAAGGGCCAGTCTACTGCCTGGAACCGAAAGTTAACACGATATTTGCTTTCATTAGGGTTGCCAAGTAGTACTCACCTCCGGAGCGGGGGACTCCCGGGTGCGAAAACATAGAGTTTCCCCTTGGATGGTTGTGGCCCCGCCCCCAGCGTGCCCGGCGTCATAACGTCACTTCCTAGTGACGTGCACGCGGGGGGTGGGGTTCCCCCCGGGGCCCGATTCCGCGGCGGCGGAAATCGGGCCTCCAAAGCGGGGGTTTACCCGCCCCCCTCCCCCACTTGGCAGCCCTAGCTTTCATGTTGGATGCAAATACCATTTTTGTTGTTTTTATGTTTTGCTTGTTTGTGTGTGGGTTTTGGACTATGCAGATGTACATATATTCATTGAATATACATCTGCACACATTGTGCAGCTAACATTCATGGATGGAGTTCTCCTGTCATTCTCAAAGCTGTAGAATTGGCAAAAAGCATCCATACAACTATTAAGAAAGCTGTCCCCCTTTTTGGAAGACTTCATGCAAGGAGAAGTGGGTTCATAATTCTAGAAACTCCCATTGGGGCTTGACTTTTAAAACACTGATGCAAAATTGTCTGGTAGTTATCAATCTGTATGTACTGAATGTTTTTGCTTATTGAATGTAATGAATATTTATACCTGACTAGGATGAAATAATGACACACTATGCACTTTACTAAATGGTGACCATAAATAGAACACATTAGTTTGTTAAAAGGTTTTTGCAGTGTATAATTTATTTGTTATTAGACTCTCCTAACACTGCAGCTCGGGTTGCTTCACCTGGAGCTGCTGGGAGCAAGGGGTGGGGCTTGTTGCATGTGCCCACCCCTTGGTCTCTTTACTGCCGGAGCTCCGCTCCTGTGTGTTCCTGCAGAAAATGACCCCTGCTCCCAGGAACCCATGTTCCTTGGCCCATTCTGCATCTAGCATTCGCTTCGTTGTTTTAACAAACCCACACTGGAACAGAAGAAAGATGAGGCTCAAAACCAGAGTCAAATATCCCGGGCCAATGCCGTACTGAGTGCAGAGTCACCCCTGAAGGGCCATAGAACGGCCATCATTCTATGCAGACAGTACCATAAAACTGAAAGATCAAAGGAAGTGAAAGCGGCATGCAGTCTGGACACTGCCATAATATCCGACAATCAATCAAAGTGCAAGTGGCATGCAATGCAGAGGGGAGTTTCTGTTCCAACGTGGGTTTGGTAGAACAGCAGAGCAAATGCGAGGTGCAGAATGGGCCCTTGTCTCCTGTTCGGTCTTCATGACAACTCTGTGCGGCTAATTAGGCCTGAGAGACGGTGCTTTGTCCTGTGGGCTTCCCGCTGGAGTGGGATAGGTTCCCAAGCTTCTATGCTCTGATCTCTCACCAGGGCTGACATGGATGAGGTATGGCAACAGCTGCAGACCACTGATTCGCACCTGGATGGCACTGAGCAGGATGCTGCAGGACAGAGGAGCCGCCTGAACGCGCTGAACCGTGAGCTAGGCACACTGAACCGCACGGTCAGCCACCTCCGCAACCAGCTGGGGAGCATAGCAGGCGCCAACTTTAATGGTAAGAAAGATGGGGGGGGGGCACTGTCCATGCCAGAGGAGCATCCACACAAGCTACGGGTAGGGACTCTGCTTCCCCTCCCTACAACTTGCTTGGTTTCCCTGTGCTTGGCAGAGTCTTTCCATAGCATCGTGGGGTACTTCCAGATGTCGGAGCAGGCACAGCAGCAAGCAGAGGCCTCCGTCCAAGGGCCGCAGAGCCCCGTGGGCCAAGCCAAACGCACACACGAGTCCACCGTCGAGCTGCTAAAGCGTAGGGGAGACACCTTTCGAAGGAGTGCGGCAGCTCAACGAAAATCACTTCGTGACCTCAAGAAAAAGGTCAGCGGCCTCCACCTCCGCAGGGTCAACCAGAAGGTAGGTTCTGTGGCAGGGATGGGCGAGGGAAGGGTAAGGAAACTAAGGGAGCTTATTGGGCACGAGCATGGTGGCCATCCGTTTGGTGTTGTGGTTAAGAGCAGTGGGAGGGCAAGGAAACGGAGCTTATTGGGCACAAGCATGTTGGCCGTCCGTTTGGTGTTGTGGTTAAGAGCAGTGGACTCTAATCTGGAGAACCGGGTTTGATTCCCCACTCCTCTGCATGCAGCCAGCTGGGTGGCCTTGGGTCAGTCACAGTTCTCTCAGAGCTGTTCTCTCAGGAGCAGTTCTCACAGAGCTCTCTCAGCCCCACCTACCTCACAGGGTGTCTGCTGTGGGGAGAGGAAAGGAAGGTGATTGTAAGCCGCTCTGAGACTCCAAGTGAAGGGCAGGGTATAAATCCAATCTCTTCTTTTCTTCTCCTCCTCCTCCTCCTTCTTCTTCCTCCTTGCCTCCTGACCCGAGTGCTGGTCCTTCCTTTTCCTATTCTGTCTGCTTACGTGGTAGCATTGGGTCCCACCAGGGGCCTGTTTCCCTGGACTGATCTTGGACTGCTGTCTTGCTCCAGATATGTGGCGGTTCTGGAGAAGAGGACTGTGAGCAAGCCCCCTGTGGAGGGGCCAACTGCAAGGACAACTCAGGCCAGCGGCACTGTGGAGGCCCTGGCTGCACTGGAGCGCTGCCTGTGTCCATGAAAGCTCTGGATACGGCCCAGAACATCTCCCGCCGGCTGGAGGCCACCACCAGGCAACTTGGCACCATTGCTAGCAAGGTACTGCATCACTGCAGGAGTATGTATTGGAGGATTGCCCAGTGATACAATCATTAGTAGTAGTGGTATTGCAGTTAGTATTCTTATGTGTAATGCTGTTGATGTATATGGCTCCTTCTGGAACAGCAAGCCAAAAGGCACATCTCTGCCCCACATGGCTTTCAAGTCTACTGAAGAAAAGACCCAAGGCGACAGTGGCCAAATACATCCAGGGCTCTTTTTGTAGAAAAAGCCCAGCAGGAACTCATTAGCATAATAGGCCACACCCAACAGCAGGAACTAATTAACATATTGGGCCACCCCCCTGACAGCACAGCTCATTAGCATATTAGGCTGCACCCCCATGTTACCAGAAGGGTGGTTATCCAGCCACACCCACCTTTTGCTTGTTATTCTGTTTACCTTGTTTGTTGTCAAAACCCAGGGCTTTTTTGTAGCAGGAACTCCTTTGCATGTTAGGCCACACACCCCTAATGTAGCCAATCCTAATGATTTCCTGCTGTTGGGTGTGGCCTATTATGCTAATGAGTTCCTGCTGGGCATGGCCAACTCGGGAGCCAGCCGGAACTCCATTCCTGTGCGTTCCTGCCCAAAAATAGCCCTGCATATGACTGCAGTTATCTGTACTTAGACTTTGTCGGTGAAAGAGGTTGGGACTTCCTTGCAAGGAAGTCCATAAAAGTTATTTCCTAGCTTACCTATTAGATATACCTGTGCTAGTCAGTTGCAGTCCAAATGCAGGAGAGACCCAGCTCTGGTGAAAAGAATTTTTCCTGCATGGCTTCCGCCACCTCAGTTGTAAAGGGGGCAGCCATGTTAGTCTGTCATAGTAAAATAAAATAAAAGCCCACTGGCACCTTAAAGAGTTACAGTGTTTATTTCAATATGAGGTTTCACCTAAGGACAGTGCAGCTCTGAAGAATGTTTCTTGGTTACGTGGGATGACTCCCCCCCCCCCTTTACAACCTTGCCCCCAGGTCTCAGATTTCATGCCAGCCAGGGGTACTAAACAGTGGCTTCACTTCTAGGTGCAAGAAATCCAGAACTTGGCACGAGATACCAGGAACCGCGCCCAGGAGACTCTGGACCGTGCTCAGGTGGCCCGGAGCCGCACGGAGAACTCGACAGCTAGGCTGAGGGAATTCATCCAGAGGATAAAGGACTTCTTAGCAGGTATCAGGGCATTGCTTGCTTTGAACAGAAAGAAACTGCGACACAGGGAGGGTGGAGTGTATTCAGAGGCTGCCCTGATCACATTTAAATCCTATACATGGGGAGGCACAGGGGTGTGGATCATACATGGGGAGAATCTGGTGTGGAATGATCTGCAGTGTTGATGTTTAGACATTTTATTTTTGGCAATGAGTGGACTCGCAGGAGAGGGCAGTCGTGGGGTACAGAGCTGTGCCCAGCAGCAAGGCAGTGTTCTTGTCTCCCCCAGAGGAAGGTGCTGATCCGGAAAGCATTGAGCTCGTGGCCCAGCAGGTCCTGAACATCTCCCTGCCCATCAGCCCCAGTGAGATTGGCAGCCTGCTCCAGGAGATCCGAAACACCATCAGCCAGCTAGACGGGGTGGACGTTATCTTGAACAGCACCGTGAAAGATCTGGCGCGGGCCAGGGATCTGCTGGCAAAAGCAGAACAGGCCAAGTGAGTCTCTCCCGGAGGAAAAAGGACACTTTCGTGTGTGGTTTTTAAAAAAATGGTTTATGCTAACAAAATTTCAGAATGACACACGTTACACTACCCTAATTCATTCAAGTCCTGATAGAGTAACATTGGGTTGGACCCAGTGGAAAGTGTTGATGCTTGCGGATCTTCCCAGCTTTCCACTCCCACCAGCAGTGTTTTCTCAACCTTGGAAAATGTATGTCTGGGGTTGAGGAACCCAGGTGGAGTAATAGCCCCATGGGTTGGAGGTGGGGGAACTGCAGTGGAAGAGGAAAGTGGGTGAAAGTGCTTCCCTCGTGCCCCTTCCATGAACAGAGCTGTACCGACAAAAGAGGAAGGAGTAATTTCACTCCATCCCCCTCCCACTGCAGTCAGTTGGCCTCCACATAGGTCCTGCAGTCCTGGGAATAAACATTCCTGGGGTTGAAAAGGACTGCTACAGGAAGGGAAAAGCTAAGAAGACCTGCAATCCCTGGCACTGGATCCAAACCACTAAATAAGAGAACTCCAGGTTCAGTCCATGGAGTCAAAGGCTAGTTGTTTATATGGGCAGCCCCCTGTTACTTTAATTGGGGTTTGCTCTGCTTGGGGTTCTGTTTAAATGTGGAAACACCAGTTACGCACCTTCAGGGTGCCGTCTCATCTGTTGCACGCCATCCAACACAGAGTGGGAGACCCACACCCAGCCTACTGCCGGCCCTTGCGCTGCAGTTGGTCAGAGCCAGAGCCCAACCCGTGCCTGTCCACACAAACAGGCTTTTCTACTGCACTGAAAGAGTCTCTTTCTACGTTGCATTTGCACTGTTTTCAACCTTCCAGTGCTAAATCAGAACTAGTGTCATAGTAGCACTTTGATTCACAGTGATTAGCCCATTAGCCCAAGGGCCAGGGGCTAAGATAGTAGAATGGGAAATGGAAAGGAGCTCATAGAAAGAGGTTTGATGAAGACCATAGGAGTAGATGCAGGTGAAGGCCAATAGTTGCAGCTGAAAATCTCTTGTGGCTGGTAGAAGCCCTTCCTGAGTCAACCACAGTATGTGGGAAGTGGCATGCTTCTTTACTTCCGTGAAGACTAGAAACTTGCTTTTTTATAGTCAGGATGAGAGAAAACTCAATGCACTCCATGCTGGAAGTCATCATTCAATGATTGGTGAGGGTTTGCTAGGCCTCCCCTCGGGTTTTGGGATGAGAAACAGGTGACACTGCATCTGCAAATTTTGCACACTTGGCCCAGGTCTCTCTGTCTCTCTGTCTAATCACACCTGATGACGTGGGCTTTGGCCACAAGCACCTATGAAAAAGTAACTTTTGTTAGCCTTGAACACGCTACATCTTCTGTCTTGTTTGCTCTCTTTTGCCCAGGGAACGTGCACAGGGCATACAGGCCACAATCACAGATACACGTGCGGCACTGAACGATGCAAGGCACAAAGTGAGGGCAGCCGAGCGAGCAATGAGCAGCACCCGGGAAGTTATCCGAAATGTGGAGAGGAGAGTGGCACAGGTAAGGTGAAGAGGAACCAGCGTGCAGCCAGCAAGGGATTTAGGAGGGGACCTCCTGTCATACTTTGCTGTGCCCTTTCAGTGGGTAGCCTCAGAGTGTGTTCTGGCCCTGGACTGTCATTGTTCACCCCATACCAGATATGCTAAATGTAACATACTGTCTCTACTTCTTTGAGAAATGAATTAATCACAGTAGAGATGATCTACCACTCTCCAGTTGTACCCTTGCAAGCTTTCTTGCATCTTGTCTAACCAGTTTCCACTGAAATACTACAAAGCATTGATTGCTTCACTGAACATACCAGGTTGCATCCAAGCCTTTTGTAAACGGTACAAATGCACAGAACTGAATTTGGGACCTTTCTCGTCCCTCAAGCACCCCCTGGCAACCCTGCTCCAATCCTCTGTTATCAGTATTAGAAGCCAAAGTGATTTCGCAGGACCTGAGTTGCTAGTTCAGACCTGGATTTGAGGGCAGAGCTTACAGGAGCATCCCTGCTTCCTCGCTGCAATATGTATTTTGCAAAAGTCAGCCTTCAGAACTTGTGAGTGGGGTGGATAAAAATCAGAGCTGGCGCTTCGTTATAGAAATCTTATGGGCTGATAGATTAATCTATTAAAATCTGCATATTTTTGCATATGAATAAAACAGCAGTTGTAAAGGGGGGGGAACAGATCATGGCCGGATGCATCACAGCAGGCCCCCATCTTAGAATAACCATCCCCTCCTGTGTGAGAATGGAGGAGGACTGCTTCTGCTAATAAAGGACCCTCCCACCCATGGATTCGTAAGTACTTGCACTTACAGATCATTAATTAAAAACAATCTGCTACCTGATTAATCCAGAGCACTTCTGTAATCAATTAAAAATATTTTCAGCTGATTAATGTAATTGCAGCCCTAATAGAAATGCTTAAATTCACCATAATATTTCAGCCTTGAAGTGCGGCAGTTTGCTCTTGTAACGCAGGGTGCAAAGGTCTGCAGTGTTAGAGGTGGGGGGGAAGGCAAATTTCAGTTCACTATAGCAAATGATAAAAGTATTTGTATAGCAAATATTCTGTGCAGAACTGCGGAAGCATCTTGAAAGAGTAACAATTCTGAGCAACAGTTAGAGTCCAGCAGCACCTTAGAGACCAGCAAGCGTTTCAGGGTATGAGCTTTTAAGAGTCAAAGCGCCCTTCACATACTTCAGTTAATATCTTTTAACAACATCTATGAGCAAACAGCTTTTCATTAAGTCATATTAGACCAAATAATGTCATACTGAAACAATCTCAGCCCCAGGGCATATCATCATGAATGTATAGAACATTTATTTATTCAGTTAAATAAGCCGTTTGTAAGTCCCACTCTCCACTATAAAAAAGAGGCAGGATACAACATAAAACAATACACAACATCAAATCTTATGAACTATTACGAATTAAAGCATAAAAAAAATACCAGCAGGTGAAATATGGGAGATATACAATGCAATCCAAACAGGATTACATCCTTCTGAGTCCACAGGCTCAGAAGGGTTAACTCTGCTTAGATTTACACTGTAAGAACACCAGATAAGAAGTATAACCAGGGCTCTTTTTGTAGAAAAAGCCCAGCAGGAACTCATTACCATAATAGGTCACACCCAACAGCAGGAACTCATTAGCATATTGGGCCACACCCTTGACAGCACAGCTCATTAGCACATTAGGCCGCACCCACATGTTACCAGAAGGGTGGTTATCCAGCCACACCCACCTTTTGCTTGTTATTCTGTTTACCTTGTTTGTTGTCAAAACCCAGTGCTTTTTTGTAGTAGGAACTCCTTTGCATGTTAGGCCACACACCCCTAATGTAGCCAATCCTAATGAGTTCCTGCTGTTGGGTGTGGCCTATTATGCTAATGAGTTCCTGCTGGGAGTGGGCAACTTGGGAGCCAGCCGGAACTCCGTTCCTGTGCGTTCCTGCCCAAAAATAGCCCTGAAACCCTCAATTAAAGTCAGGAAATTAAAAAAATGTAAAGCATAACATAAAAAGGCACATTAAAAAGAAGAAAAAATCTCTCAATAAAATGGCTGAGCTTATAACAAAGATTTTATCTAGCAGCTAAAAGGCACCCGTTGAACTGCTGTGAAGGCATTTCATAATCAAGGTGCCACCCCAGAAAAGGCCTATTTCGGATATGTCAAAGTATTGTCATAACTGATGCCCATATTTATACAAACCTGGCTTACGAATATTCTGGTACATGAGGTGGATGATAGTTCAGCAAAACTTTTGTAAAGCTTTTGAAACATGCAGTTCCAATACCAAATTCCAGTCAACCAATAGAGTTTCTTCAGTATGTGAAACCTGGGTGTGGAATATACCCCAGTTTCTTTCCTGCATTCCTGATGCTACCTAAGCTGGAAAGTGACAGGTGAACGATGCCCAAGGAGGTTGACTGTTGTCTTTTCTTTCAGGCTGAGGACAGGCTCCAGGCAGTGGTCAACAAGGGGTCACAACTGGAAAGCCGCCTAGGAAATCTGGCACAGGATGTGGCTACCTTACAAGAGAAATCCCAGAACAATCAGCAGCTGGCCCAGCAGGCAAAAGGAAAAGCTGAGCGTGCTACTGCTGTTGCAGGCAGGCTGTCCAAGGTAAGAGCCCCTGTCTGTCACGCAGGTCACCCTCACTGCCAACAGGAACTGTGTCTGTTCACCCACTGCACCACTGCCCATCTCTTTGCTGTGGAACAAATGCCAGATTTCTCCACACCTGCATGTTCCTGCCAAGGATCCCATCAGCTTCTCTTCATGTGTCTTCACAAGTTTATGCCACAATAAATCTGTCAGTTTTCCAGGATGCAATGAGACGTTTTGTTAGATAACGTCATCTGCAGCTTGCTCCATCTCCTGCCATAAAGTGTGGCGACCCTCCGCACCCATGCTGTGTATATCCTAAGAAACAAACTCTTGGCTCAGACTAAATAATGCTATATCATTTATACTGGACATGCAGCTTGCTCCCACACTGGGGTTTGGTCTAGCTCTATGGGACCAATGGAAAATGTTTTTCTTGTCCCATTTCCACACAACATCATGGTGCTTTCGTACAACTTCCAGCCTTTCTGCAATCCTTTTTTCAAATGATCGGAGCAAAGCCATGGTGGCTGTTGTCTGGACAGCAAAGTCTTGGCCCTGCTCATGCTGGCACCATTTCCCAAGGCCAAGCCCCCTGCAGTTGCCTTCCTCCCCACCTCCGCAACCACTTTGAGACTTTATCAGGGCTTTTAAAAGAAATTAGGTAAAGGTAAAGGTTCCCTTCCTCGAAAGCCAGTCGAGTCCGACTCTAGGTTTGCGGTGCTCATCTCCATTTCAAAGCCAAAGAGCCAGCGCTGTCCAAAGACGTTTCCGTGGTCATGTGGCCGGCATGACTAGACACCAAGGCGCGCGGAACGCTGTTACCGTCCCACCGAAGTGGTACCTGTTTATCTACTTGCAATTTCTTGCTTTCGAACTGCTAGGTTGGCAGGAGCTGGAACTAGAGACGGGAGCTCACTCCGTCATGCGGCAACTCGGGTCTTGAACTGCCAATACTGACCTTCCACAGCCTGCAGTTCAGCATCTTAACCACTTGAGCCACCGCAGCTCCTTTTTTAAAAAAGTTAGCCATTGACAAATCTCCAGAGCATCATACTGTAGCAATCTGTCCATGTCAATTGCTGATTTAAGAGAAACAAAAAACCCTTGCTCTCCAGTGGGGTGGTGGTGGAGTGGGGAGCCAGGAGAGGGAATATGGATGGAAACCCACTATATGGAAGCTCCCATTTCTGCTGCACTGCATTGGCAAAACACAAAACCAAACAAGGACCCACGGTAAGTAGGAAAACCAA